TCCAATAATCTCTCTTCAAATTTAATCTTTTTGGGTTTCTTTTTTCCTCTCTCATTTCTTTCTCCCCCCTCACTCTTCCCGTGTGAATACATGGTTAAGGAAAAATGAATTTTTTGAATGACATAAAGAGACAAATAAATTAAAAGAGAGAGAAATTATCTACAGAGGAATACATGACATAAAGATAGTAAGAGAGGCGAGAGAGAGAGAGAGAAAATATTGGTGGGTTTGTGTGGCCATTTAGGGCCTTATGAGTGCTTGTAATTGAACTTTTGATATAATGGAACATAGATTCAATGGGAGTGTGGTCATCTGTATACCATATAAAGCGAATGATGTTTACTGAGACCGGATTGATCTTTACGAGCAAGGCTAGTCTGGTTTGGAAAAACTCATGTTGCAAGGACATAGAGTATAAATCAATAAGGGTTATAATGGGTCATCCCTTTATGAGGTCGAAGTATGTTTTGAAGAGTGAGCTGAGTGATTGTGTGGCCTTTGTGCATGATGGAGGCCTTCAAAGATAGAGCCAAAGCCTCATCCGCATACCATCACACGGCATACACATAAGATGGCAGTTTTCGGGTAAGCGAACCACCTTTCGTAAAGTCATATTTGAATAATTAAAAATATTAAAAATAAGTTGTTATAGCTCAAGCTCTTGGCTTTAGGGAAATGAAAGATGAGTTTTGGAAAGCGTGTGCTTTGAGGAAGCTTTGAACCAAATTTTTTTGGCAAGTGTGAGAAGGCTTGTGCATAAAATAAGAAAACAAAATATTATCATATATTATTTTCTTATTTAAATTAATTGATAGGAAAATGGCTTAGAAAATGGAAGATAATGATTCTAGCACCTTCCATATAATCTTGATGCCTTATTTATGGAATGGAGGGCTCATATCTCTCACCCCACAAGTCACCCAAGATTAATGGTATATATTCAATCTCACATGAAGAGGCAAGCTATAGAAAACCCTAAGAAACCCAGAAACCCTTCATGTACTATAAATAGGGGTGCACCTTACCCAATATTCTCTATATCAAAAGTTTGTCTCTCTCTCTCATACCCAACATAGGGACACACCCCACTCTTAGAAACTCTCTCTCTATCTCTCTCTCTCTCCTTGAAACTTTCCCTCTCCCTATGGTAAACTATGTCGCACGCCCCTCTCATTTCTCTATGATATCTCATCTCCCTCTCATCTTTCATCTTATTGTGATATGGCCTAAAGGGTTTAGGGTGTAGTAAAAGAGATTTTATCTCTCTCAACTAGGTTATCATGGGGGTTCACCTATGTTTGAGTTTTGTGATTGAAAGGGGATCATGTTTCATTGAAGTGGCTTGGCCTAAACTTGCTTTCCCAAGATTGAGATTGAAGGTTGACCATTAATCCAGCGCTATCAGAAGGAGGTGATTCGATGTAGGGTGTAAGAGGCCCAGTTGAGGTAATCTCCGACACTTTCTTTGTATTTCTTGAAATATTTTCTTATTGTGTCTTTCATTATTCCCAAATAAAAGTTGTGTCTTTTCATTATTATTAAAGAAAGGTTTTGATTAGCTTCAAGTCCTTGATATCATAGTTGTGTGCTTTTGTTTATTTTGTTTGAAGTTGATTTATTGTAAAATGAATATTTGTGAGTAATCTAAGCCTTGAAGAAAAAGAAAAAGAATGGAAAAAGAAATATATATATATATACTTTAGCTAGATAGTCCTTTTTTCAAAGATATAGTGAGAGGAAGAGAGAAAATTACGGAAAAACAAATGTGAGAGAGATTATAGAAAGAAATATGGAAGTAAATTACAAAGAGAGATAAGCTATAGAACAACATGTGTGAGAAAAAAAGAATTTAAGGAAAAACAAAGAGATATTTAAATTAATTTTTCATAAATTAGATAGCGAAATAAATAGACTATAAATTAGAAGAGAGATAAATTATCTAGGGAGTAATATATGAGATAAACATAGAGAGCGAGAGAGAGAATATGGAAGATGAATCCATGAGAGGAAAGAGGAAGAATGAAATTAAAGAAAAGAAAAATGCGAGAAAAATTATAAGAAAGAAATATAGTGGTAAATTAGAAAGAGACAGATAAGCTAGAAAGGAACCTGTGAGAGAGAGATGGGCTGAAAGAAAAATAAAGAGAGAGATTTTAGGACAAAGGAAGACATGAGATAAGAGAATTAAGTAAATAAACTTTAAAATATATATTAGACAGCGAAGAAAATTGTAGCTAAATTAAAAAGAAATAATATTCACTAACTGCATCTTTTGAAATAGTGTGTGCCCTTAAA